GTATTTTTTTGACTAATATGTTTGGGTACCTGCTGTGTTATTGGCATTAGGGATGCAGTCATGAATAAAAAAGACCCAGTCTGGGCGGCACCTGTGGCTCAGTAAGTAGGGGGCTGGCCCCATATACCGAGGGTGGCGGGCTCAAACCCAGCCCCAGCCAAACTACAACAAAAAATAACTGGGCCAGGTGTTGTGGCAGGTGCATATGGTCCCAGCTACTCGGGAGGCTGAGGCAAGAGAATTGCCTAAGCCCAAGAGCTTGCTGTGAGCTGTGATGCCACAGCACTCTACCAAGGACAACAAAGTGAGACTCTGTCTCTAAAAAAAAAAAAAAGACCTAGTCTCTGCCCTTAGAGTTCACTAGTGGAAAAGAGACCCCTCTACTAGGAAATTGTAATCTAAACAGAGTAATGCCATGATGAGGTGCTGGTAATTGTCCCTCACATGACCCATTGCAACAGGGCATTGTGAGCACCTAAAAGAGGCACCTGTCCAAGCATCAGGGGTCAGAGAAGGAAGTGTCAGCTAAGTGTGACCTGAACAATGAGCAGATGTTGGCCAGACAAGGCAGAGGGGAGAAGAGGGGTATCCAGGCAAAAGGAACAGCATGTGCCAAGGCTCAGTGGCAAGGGACTGAAAGATGTTTAATCAGGCCTAGGGGAGAGCTGGTCTTATGCTAGGCATTCCAGCCCTTCCTGGAGGATGTGACCTAGCTTTCTCCCCTCACCCCCCGGCTTTTGGCAGGATGAGGCTGTGGAACGCTGCAGCCACCCAGAGCCACCCCGTGAACACTTTGGACAGAGGATCCTGGTCAAATGTCTGTCACTTAAGTGAGTGTAGTGACCTGTCCCTTTCCTTGGCCACATGAGGGGACCACATTACCATATGCAGCCCTGTGATTTATGAGGCTTTTATGGGGGAAAATAAGACTTCCTTTTTCATTATGCTTATGTGTCAATTATGTGCCAGGCTCTGTTCTTTACCCTTCATGTACATTAACCCATCTAATCTTCACCACAACCTTGTGAAGTGGGCACAAATGGGGGAAACTGAGGCACAGAGTAATGATGTCATTGTGTTAAGATTACACGACTAGGGAGACCAAAGTTTGGCATTCACTCACCTGCTGCTGACGTTCGACTGGGGATGGCAGTGTTAGTGACCCTGGGTTTGGCTGCCTAAGCCCCCGCCTCCACATCATCCCCCAGGGATCAGCCAGAAATGCGTGGGAACGGGGCTAAACAGGATGTGGACTTGGACTCCAGCCTGGCCCTGCCTCTCTCTATCCCATGTTTCTGCCTGGATGGGGACAGGAAAGGGAAGTTCCATTCTGGCCTGAGGTCTGAGTAGGCCTCCTGTTCCAAGCACAAGGATTGGGAACTGGCTCTGGGTGCTCATTCAGTCATTCAGCAAAGACTGGTGGAGTGACTGCAGGGTACAGGACGTGACCTGTGTGATTATTATAGAGCTGGGATGGGAGATGCTCTGAGTGTTTATGGGCCTACAGGAGGCTTGAAGGATAGCAGTGGGGATTTAGGACAGCTTTTCAGGAGGGGAAACATGGAAGCTAAGACCCAAAAGTGAGGAGGAGCTGGCTGGATGGAGAGGACCTGGGGGTGGGGTGGAGGGAATTTGGGAAGAACAGCACATGCAGAGGTAGCAAAACAAGTGTTTGGGTACCCATGCCTTCTGGAGAAGGGCAAAAATGAGGCCAAGAGGCAGGCAGGGTAGGCCATGTGGCCTTTTGTCCTCAGTGCCATGGAAGCAAGGGCTCAATTATTCAGTCTGAAAAAGTCTCCTTAGCAGGTGTGTGGTAAGTGGGGCTCAGCAAAGCAAAATAAGACAGAGAGGCAGTTATGGTGGCCATTGAGGTGAGTAAGGATGGGATTCAGCCAAGGGTGGCAACAGCAGCAGAGGATGCCCCAGAGAGGAGGGACAAGGAGGTCCAGGAATGATAATTTCAATAATGTCAAGATTATTGCACCAACAGGTGCTTCCATGCCAGCTGAATGAGGGCCAAGGTTGCAAAGAGGAGGAGCTCTATATGTTACTCTGTGCCTCAGTTTCCCCTTTTGCAAAATGGGACACACCTTTTCCTAAATTCCTTAAATGGCAGTTCCATATAGCCCAGTAGGAGTCAGATGCCCCCCTCCTTGCATCTTGGACCTCAAGAAGGTGTAGGGTATGCAGATGGAATGGGTGTCAGGGAGATACACCATACTCCCATTTACTGGCAGGTTCGAGATCGAAATTGAACCCATCTTTGGGATCTTAGCCCTGTATGACATGCGGGAGAAAAAGAAGGTAGGAGCTTCTTTCTTATTCTTCCCTCTCCTCTTCCTCCTTGTGGGGGTGCTGTAGGCTTCCCAGAGGTGGTGACCCAGCTGCTTCTGGTATCCCTAGATCTCAGAGAACTTCTACTTTGACTTGAACTCGGACTCCATGAAAGGACTGCTTCGGGCTCATGGTACCCACCCCGCCATCTCCACCCTGGCCCGCTCTGCCATCTTCTCTGTGACCTACCCCTCACCTGACATCTTCTTGGTCATCAAGGTACCCCTTGAGGCTGGGCAAGAGAGTGGTAATGGCAAACGCCTCAAGTTCGATCCCTGCCTTTATGTAGTGAGACAAACAGTGTCATCAAGAAGGGTGATCAGGGTTGTTGTAGGGGAGGTCCAGGCAGGGAGAATCCCGAGGTGGGAAAAATCATGAAGGGCGTCCACAGAGAGGTGACAGCTGATCTGTGACTCATAGGCCATCCTGGTCACATGCAGCAGCCTGGGCAGGGGGCCCCAGGAGGCAAGTGAGATACTTTGAGGCAGTTCTCAGACCTAGTTGGCACACTCATTTGGGATTTTCTGTTTCCAGAAGTGAAGGCAAATTTCCTTTCCCCAAACACTCAATTAGGTTACAATGATGAAATGCGTGGAGAAGGCACAGGCAGGCCTTGCTCATGGTCATGCTTCATAGGGTTTTTGCCTTTAAAAGTACTCATTAATAGGCTCTGCATTGGGGGTTGCTATTGTGCCCATTTTCTTTCTTTTTTTTGGCCGGGGCTGAGTTTGAACCTGCCACCTCCAGCATATGGAGCTGGTGCCTTACTCCTCTGAGCCACAGGCACCGCCCCTGTGCCCATTTTCCAGATGGGCCAACTGAGGCGCAGAGCTGGTAAGGGACTACCTGCCCCCAGGATCTCATAGCCCCTGAGTGGTCAGGATTAGAATCCAGGCCTTGTGGCACAGAGCCATGTGAAAAGTGGCCTCCATGTACACCAATAAGGAAAAATGCAAATGTAGCAAAAATATCACCAGCTAAAAGGAGCTTTGGGGCTTGAGGGGTAGGTCTGAAGGGTGGAGAGGGGGTAGCTACCGGGCAGACCAAGTGCTAGCACTAGATCCCAAGGACAGTAGGAGCCATAGGAGGTATGGGACGCAAAGCCTTCACAGGATGGGAGTATCTGGGGATCCAGGAGCCTGGGTGGAGGTGAAAACAGAAAGGGGGATGGGAGCAGTGCCTCACTTGGCTCCCCCGCCCTGCAGCTAGAGAAGGTGCTACAGCAAGGTGACATCAGCGAGTGCTGTGAGCCCTACATGGTGATGAAGGAGGTGGACACCGCCAAAGTAAGTGTTTGAGGGTGGACCAAAGGCGGGGCAGGTGCTGGCCTCAACAGACCTGGGATGCTGAACTGGTGGTGGGACGGGTGTCTCCCTGCAGAACAAAGAGAAGTTAGAGAAGCTGCGCCTGGCCGCCGAGCAGTTCTGCACCCGCCTGGGCCGCTACCGCATGCCCTTCGCCTGGACAGCGGTGCACTTGGCTAACATCGTGAGCAGCGCCGGCCATCTGGACCGGGACTCAGACTCAGAGGGTGGTGAGGAGGCGGGGGCCGTTGGTAAGGGGGCGGGGGGCAAGGAGTCGCGCCCTCTGTTGGACGAACTCGATACCGCAGCTGAGTCTCCTGTTAGTGTCTCCCGTTTCTGTCATCTCTGTCCCCCTCTGTTACCTGCCACTGTCTCCCCTAGAGCGCCGGCCTACCTGGACAGACCGCCGCCGTCGGTGTCCCCAGGACCGGGCAAGCACTAAGGATGACACCTGCAGCTTCTCTGGCTTCCGCCCAGCCACACTAACTGTCACAAACTTCTTTAAACAGGTATTGTACCCTAAAATAGAGGGGTGAAAGGAGAGGTGGCCACTCTCCCCTCTCCCTTCAGCCCAGGGGTCCCTGGCCCTTTGGCCCAGGCTCACAGAGTAGGTCCCATGCAGGAAGCGGAACGGCTCAGTGATGAGGACCTTTTCAAGTTCCTGGCTGATATGAGACGCCCATCGTCCCTGCTGCGGCGCCTGCGGCCTGTGACCGGTGCGTGGTGTACCCCGTAAATGAGGTGCTACTCTCACGCAGTCACTTGGCAAACCTACACTCAGCACCAACTTGCCAGGGACCCAATGATGACAGTGACAGAAAAATCCCTGATCTCCAGGTCTTCTAATGGCCATAGACAAGAACCGGAATGAATAAGGCAGACAGTGGGTTAACTGGGGAGTGTTGGGGGATGGGGTTCTGAGAGAAGAGCTGATTAAATGTGGGAGTGAGAGACAGGGGTGTCAAGGGCAACCTCTAGCTCCTAAAGGACAGATCCCTCGGTGGGCATTATGGGGGAATCAGTGCCCAACGCTGCAGTCTGGACAGGTGTACCCAGCCATGAGGCTCCCAGGTAGGTGTAAACTTGCTCCCCTCTATGCAGCCCAGCTCAAGATCGACATTTCCCCGGCTCCTGAAAATCCCCACTTCTGCCTCTCCCCTGAGCTGCTGCATATCAAGCCCTACCCAGACCCCAGGGCCCGGCCCACCAAGGAGATTCTGGAGTTCCCTGCCCGCGAAGTCTATGCCCCCCACACCAGCTACAGGTATGGATACTGGGGCCCAGCTGGGTGCTGGAATGAGGGCCTTGTGGGCATCATGCCAGGTATGGTCCCCCGTACTCTCAGATACATAGATACCAGCATGAGATGCCACTGCTGTGATTTAATGTGGGGCGTGTAGGCATGAAGGGGTGCGTGTCTCATGTCCTTCCTCCAGTCCTCCCCAACAGGGCCATATCCTCTGCCTTTGCTCTGTCTGCTTCCGTCTCTGCTCTGTGCCTGGAAGCGCGACCCAGTGCCCTGGCCACCCCAGTGGATAGGCAGTTCCTCCCTGGAACTGGAGGGCCTCATGGGGCATGGAATTGTCCCTTCAGTGACTGGTCCTTAGTTCCATCTAGACAGGTTCAGGCTGGGAGCGCTGCTGTGTGGAGTCTGGGAAGGAGATGTGGCTTAGTCAAAAAAGGGGTCCCTTCCAGCTGCCCTGTGCACCCACCACACCACACACCAGATTTCAGCCAGACTCACCTCTCCTGGATCTTTTGCAGCCGGTGCTGCTGCTCTGCTATTTCCCGCTTCTGCCGCTGCACGTGGCCCATGAGGGCCCATACGACATGGCTCTGCCTATCAGCGTGAGCCTGTGGGGTCAGATTGGAAACCTCAGTTGGGATCCATCTTGCCTCCCATCCTGCGATCCTGCCCAGGGCCCCCTATTGCATCTGTGTGACCCAGCAAGTCACTGATGCTCTCTGACCTCAGCTTTCTCATCTGTAAAATGGGTATAGAACAGGACTCACTTAATGGGATTGTTATGCTCTTCACATGAATTATTAAAGTGCATAGACTAATGCTGGGTACTTATTGGGTACTCAAGAAATATTACCAGTTATTCTAGTAGTGAGCATTTATTGAGCACCTACTGGGTACCCTGCCCCATGCTAAGTATTTGATCTGCATCAAGTACTTGACTCTGCTCTGAGATATCACTTTTTACCCTTATTTGTAAATGAGGAAACTGACAGGGACAAACAGGGACATAGGTCTTGCCCAGAACAAGAAGGGGCTCTCCAGTGGGGAGACCATAAAGATGGCAAGCTGGCCTGGAAGGTCTCTGGACTCAAGGGTCAGAAGCAAGTTCTGGCCAGGAGTCAGGGTCTCAAGCTCACAGGACTGGGAGTCATTTACCTTTAAGGCCTCAAATTCTTGGTGGGTATGGCCCAGCCATGCACCACTCAGCTGGCCTTCCAGCCGCCGCACATTGTCCCACAGCACCCGTTGTTCCTGGGCCACCTCCCCC